GTTATTTTCTTATACCAGACATGTTGTGGGGATCAGCTCTATTTCCATCTTCCACACTCTAAAAGGGTGTGTATGCATTGCAGTTAGTTTCCTGATGCAAGAGTCATTTATTTGGGTTGGGTGATCAGTCCAACAGTATTTATGTATTCCCTTAATATATACCCTTAATTCACCCCAGTTACATGTCAAAATATTCTGGCTCTACAGCTGTTTTTCTTCTCACTCGTTCTTCGGCTCAGTGTGTGTACTGCGCTGCTGAGCAGCAGCTCTTGTTCTTCAGAGGCTGACCATTAAATTAGCTAAATGAAATGAAAAAAATCGCTCTATATATTTGTCCAACCCTATCATTTATCCAATACATTTAGGTATGTCCACTGATGTCCATAGCACACTAAGGACACATACAAACTTAATCAAGATCCACCTGGATTGTCTCATTTTTGGAAACTTCATCATTGGATGCAATTGAAAGGTGGTATTATTACATAAAAAGTATACACATTGGGACTCGAAAGCTGATGAGGTAGGCCTTTTTTATTTTTATTTTCTGGTGAGAAGTCATTGAGGTATTATAGGCTATTGTATCAAGAGCGAAGGGTTGCCTCACTTGAGCAGGTAGCAGGTGTATGCTGCACTGTACTAACAGTCTACTGGAGTTATTTGTAGTTCATGTTATCTTATAGTGGTAGGATAGCAAGCCACTGGCTAGCTGTAGCCTCAGTTGTCCTTTTTAATGGGCATATCAAGGGCCACTTGTATCCCCTGGTCCACCACAGGGAGAGGGAGACCACGTCTGGCTGCAACATGACTCACTGTTTGGCCTTGTCACATTGTGCGCCAGCTGTGCCATCTAAACTGCCCTTTCACAGTGTGTGATAGCTAACATGCCAACCTATGACCCATCCTGATTAATGAGGGTGGAAGCCTCGCCCAGTGCTGGGCTTGTGTCCCTCTGGAGGTATGATTGTTCTTTGTCCATGCATACATAACTAACCTCTCTTTTCATTCTATCTATCTGTTGGTACATTTATTCATCCACTGATCAGTATAGCCAGTCACCAATTTATCAGTCATCCATCCATCCACAGATTTCTCCTCACTTCTGCCGAGCTTGTCTTTCTGTCACTGTCTATTTTTCTTCTTGCTGAATGTCACTCTCTTCATTCCAACATCATTACCAGCGGGTTTAGAGAGCTAGAATGGATGCAAAGAAAAGGCTAAAATTGATGCAAGAAAGAAGAATTTAGAAGGCATCTGGATGGAGTGAAAGAGAGGAGGGGAGAATAAATCAGATGGATGATGTGACAAATCTGGCATTTGTCATGACCAAGGGCAGCCTGGGAGACACCATAATAACAATGTAAACAAAGTTATAATTCAAATATCCTTTCCCGCTCTTTTTCTCCTAATCTTTCTCTTGCAGTATCTCTCTTTCTCCATACAACTCCCTTCATCACCAACTCTCTTCTATCCCTTCACTGACAATTCTCAGAGAACACTGTGAAGGTTTTTGATTTGACCTGCACAGCAATGTCAATGACTTTATTTAATACAATGTTTAACACTTTTTAAGGCTTTAAACTTAATTTTAAAAGTGATATTATTTATGACTCGTGGAATCTCTGCTCTCTCTGTCTCTTTTCTGTTTTCATTTTGTTGAATTAACCTCCCCCAACCCCGCCACAGTGTTTTCCAAAACAGAAATTGGCAATCTGTTTAGAGGGGCTCCAACTGAGCGCTAGCCAGATTATCCGAAAGATTAGCTTCCATCATACCCAACTGAAAGACCACTGGATTAAGTGGGTGGCAGTGGTAGTCATGGTTGGCGAAGGGGATTTGGTTGGCTGCTATTTGTTGTTTTTGGCCTGTTCCTCCCCAGACCTCTGAGCATAAATCTGATTTAGCTAACATGGTTTGAGTCTTTGCAGAAACGAGAGTCAATGCAGTGAGAGGAGCTTTGATTTATTGCTATTCTTGGAAAAACTGGTTATTTCATTCTCTCTCTTCGGCTCAGTGATGAGTGATTATGTCTCTGTAATTGAGGAATTACAGTGTGTGCGTTCATTATAGGTACATCACTTGATCTGCTTAAGCATGCATAATTACAGGTTAGTTCACATTTGTTCTCTAGAGAAGTTTGACTCTGACTACAAGGTCTTTCTAATTTTTTGTCTTCCACTGGAGTGTTCTTTGCTAAAATATTTGCACTGCTGATCAAGCTATCAGTAAACGCTGTTGTGGACTAAATTATTATATTTTGTTATTATTGTTGTAAATAAAAGTCATTGTCCATCCAATTTTTAACCATTAATCCTGTTGAGGGTTGAGGGAGCTGAAGCTATCTCAGCATGTATTAGGTTTAAAAACCCTTGATCTGTCACATAGCATATTTGTTTTTTTAGATGTATACAATTATCTTTTTGCAATGTGTAAACCTGCCCTAGTCCAGCTCTCTGTTACACCAGATCGTTGTTATCACTTATGTCTTTAGTTAGTTTGATCTCTTGACCCTAATCAGAAACTTAGGCTTTGTAATCACATCTCTGCCTGTTTCCATCATCAGATGATGGGAATCTCACATTAGATTACAATAACATCAGTGGTTCACTGGCTTAAGGTTTATCTGCCAACCACATTTGAAAAGAAAATCCGTAAAAAAAAAAAAGTTAAATGATGTCCTGCTGTCTTTCAGACAATCAGGCAGACAAGTAATTACATCACCTGTTAAAAGAAAGTAGATATCTGAAGAATTGTTTGCAGAATGGGAAGTTCTTTTTGTCTGAGTGCTGCGTGCTGACATGCAGCATTTATTTCCTCAACGAAATGGAAATACATTAATCGGAGGCCATCAGTCCATCTGCATCAGTCACAGTCAGAAGTAGTAAAGGCCTATTTTCTGGGGACACTATGTGGGCTGTGTGAAAGGATATTGCCTGCTGTGCTGACCTGAGGATTGGGTTATACGTTGGTAATATCACCTCCCCCCTGCAGCTTTCCTAACTGCCAAATGTCAGTCTAGCACAGTCTTATCCAGGAATGGTAGATTACTTTATAGGCTTTGGTCTTTTAAGTAGAAACACAGACTCTTTAAACCATAAAGCACCCCAGGGAGCCAAAAGTCTGCACCTAAACCTACAAACGCATATCTCTCAATGCAGTACAGACACATACACAAGAACACAAATGGACAAGATATCTCAGAGTTGCAGGGATGCTAACTCCAGTTCTCATCCTTGAACCATAGCATTTCCCCTTTCACAGGCACACACACACACACTGCCAACCAAACAGTCTTCTGTCTCAGATGGCCTCTAAGATGGCTTATCCATGGTGCCGTTGTCTAATCTCCTCTCATTAGGCTAATCTTACTTTTACACTAAGTAGCTTGTTTGAACAATCTTATAATGCACTCATACACAATCCTGTGGGCTAAAAGTTAGGGTTAAGTTTCCTTTTAAGTCTATGAAGTTGATTTTTTGATTATTTTAGGAGGCATCAATATGTTTGTCTCCCAAATAGAAAATCATACCTACTTATTACCAAAGATTAATAAGAAAGGGACTATTGAGATGAATATTATTACAGATTGACAATGTAAACTTTACTAAATATACCAAATATTAAATACATTTTGAGAAGCCAACTTTTGCCATGCTTTAGACACACGCAACATTCATGGAACAGAGCTTTAAGATAAAATGTTGGCTTTTTGGAATAAAATGTCATCCGTCTTACTACAATAAATTCAGTGTGTATTTAAGATGAATTGTCACATTGTGCACAAACTGAGCATTTTGACAAAAGCTGAATGATCTCCAGAGTTTGTCTGTAAAGGTTTTCTGAGTTTCAAACTACTTTACAAACTACATTTTAAAACATTAAGGGTAAAATCCTGCCTGAGGATCCGTGTTCAGATCCCTGTCAACTGTCACTAAATCATTAGCTTAGTTGTTCCTCCAACAATTATCAGACATAATGAATTAGTTTTTACTTCAATGCCAAAACTCATTTCTCCTGTGTAGGTAGGTGTCTGTTCTTTGCAGATTTTGGAGATTACACACATTGTGTGTAAAGTTTTCATTTTCATTGGAGAAACAGAGCTAATACAGTTTCTGTAATTATGCAGTGACCTGTTTTGGTTGCTATCGTTAGCTGATAGAAACTAATTAGGCAGACAGAAAGATTGGTTTGAACAAGCTTGTTAGTGTGCAGTCAGTCGTGGTACACAAACCTGGGGATGAGAGCCCAACATATGGCTGGAACAATGCTGTGTGTGTGTCTGTGTGTGTGCGTCTGGTTGTTTTCACCATGTGTGGGTGTGCGTGGGTGGGTTGCAGCCTGTTGCTGGTTGTGCATGAATTTCTGGTATTGTACTTGTGTGTGTGTGTATGTGTGTGTGTGTTTGACATATGGGCATAAGGCAGTAATAACCACTCCAAATGTCTGCAGATCAATACAGAGACTTCTGTGGTAATCTCTGGCATGTGAATCTGGGCTTTCCTGTAATGATGCAGCGTGGCCTAGCGGCCTAGCGGTCAGACAGATTTCCCAGTAATTAATAGATCACAGGTTGGAACCTGTGAACTTGTTTACAGCCTTCATGTCCCATCAGAGTGGCCCTGAGCAAGGCACTGGACCAAATTACTGACAGTGACTTTTAATAATACACCACATTCTGCTTCTGTAAAATGTAAGTGACATAGGAAATTGAATTTGCTTTGGTTCAACTGGCTGATGTAGCTGGCAATCCCAGAATGGTGAGTTGGATCATTGGGAAAGGAAGGGACCTCCAACGGATTAGTTGATTACATACAGTTTGTCTACAAAGGCTGGATGAATATTAATTGAAGACTTAATATTTCTGTGTGTAAGAGCATACAGATTGATGAACTCAATATATAATTTCCCCATATGTACTGTATATATGCTCAATTATCAATCAAAAATCTCTCCGGCTCATCCAAAGAACTAACTTTTGTTTCTTTCAATCTCTCCTTCAGATCCAGTCCATGGTCCCCAAAACGTCAATGTGGTGGATGTCAGAGCCCGCCAGCTGACTATACAGTGGGAGACGTTTGGGTATGCTGTGACACGCTGCCACAGCTACAATCTGACGGTACGCACAGCAAGTCAGAAGTGCAAGTTACATTTTATGGACATTAATTAGTCTCCACCATGAAAGCATAACGGGAAAGTAGTCAGAATTGGTAGCATATTTTGCCTTTTTTATATAAAAGGTCAAGTAACTTTTTGGCAGGAACATTATTTCAAAGATGTTACACCTCAGTCACATCAAAATTATTTAAAGAAATGATTATGCTTTGAAACTAAAAGTGAATGTACAAATCCCTCCATTTCTACACTCCAATATCATAATTTGCTTCACCAACAGGTGTTTTGCTGAACCTTTATGCACATTTACCAACGCCCCTATTTCAGGTTCATGTCTAATTCGTGACATTCACAGTTTGGACCTGCACAGTTGGATCACATTCACTCTACTTGGCAATTCTGTCAAAGCATTGCAGGGTTAAATGCATTACATAAGGGCAGCTCTGCATTAGCAAGCATTGTTTTTAACCAAATTACAGTGGGATAAATGTCTCTCTCTCTACTTCTGTTTTCCAGGTGCAGTACCAATACGTGTTTAACCAGCAGGAGTTTGCAGCGGAGGAGTTGATCCAGACGTCATCACATTACACTTTGAGGGGGCTGAGGCCCTTTGTCACGGTCAGACTGCGGCTGGTCCTTGCCAACCCCGAGGGCAGCAAAGAGAGCGAGGAGATAGTCAAACAGACAGAGGAGGATGGTGAGTGAAAAAAACAGCATTTGCTACAGTACATTTAAATTGTTTAACAGCAAACTGTATAATGAAGTATTGATCCAACCTATAACCAGCCAGTTCATGACAGCTTTAGCTATTCTAGCAGCTCACTCTTGGTCAGTGTCCCCTGATAGAAATCCTCTGGCTCACAGAAAATGATTAATTTTACATTTCTGACAGCAGCAACAGCATTAAGAATAAACAGGAGAACTGGCCTCCTACAGAAACTCAGACTTCTCCAACATAAAATACAAGCTAAAGGCCGTTGCAGTCCAACCCACACTGTGTGATTGGCAGGTGGTTCTGGGAACTGCAGTGCAGCAACATCCGCTACAGTAACTAAACACTGCCTTAAGGGAACGGGATAGAATTTAGAGAAACATAGTAGATCTATAATCACACGATCACAGGTTCAATCCTTGCATCATCGAAAATTGCACCAATCAGCAGCCATCTTATCACTGTGCTCTTGAGCAGGAACACCTACAGGACATAACTGACATAGTTTATTAATGCCTCAAATATAAATGTACCCCAGGAGTTCAAATTATTTCAAAACAACAACATTTTAAACTCCTGTTTCCTTTCCAGAGGGCTCCATGTTCTACTAATTCAGAACAGAGTATTGGCCCCAGCCGCTACTACGAACAATTCATTGCTGCTTCACATTCCTCTCAACAACTTGCCTGCGATAAACTGGAATAGCTCGAAATCCATTAGAGCAATGCCTGATAAGCAGGATAAAAACATTGTTGTAATGATCCTAAATCTCTCATCTCTTTCCCACCCTCCTCAGGGCTCGCTGCTCTTCTCCTGATCTCATAACTAATATCCTCTGAATTTAGCTTCTGGGTAACATCACATCTCAGCCTGAAATTCCTACCTTTAGTAGCTGAACACACACATACTGCAAGTTGTCTAAACCCTTTAAAAAGAGTTAGCATGACTGGGGAGTAGCAATGGCTTTGGGGGGAAAGGAAAAAAAGCCTTAATTGTTTTGTTCTTAATTGTTTTTTATTTAACCATCGTTAATCTCCTGGTTGTAATTCAGTAATTAGGGAACAGAACAGCAATTGTTCACATGGAGCCTAATTGCTGTTTGTACGGTAATGGCTTTATGGAGCTGGGGCTCCAGCAAATGAAGCCGCTTTCTCACACACAGACACACACACACACACACACACAAACACACCTAAACACACACACCCACACGTATATATGTATGTATATATGGATTTGCTCATATGTTTTACTGTCACTGATGACATAGAAATATACTGTAACTTATGTTATGGGACAAAATAAGGGATCTGCAATTAAGATAGAAAATTACTTTTCTCTCATGCACACAAGACTCAGTAATCTCAGGATGAGAGCTTCTCAGTTTTTAATCTTATCCTCCTTAATTGTTTTACCTACTGTAAGCTGCACTCTTAAGATTTAAAGCATATTAAGATGCACACAAACACACACAGTCACATAAGTCATGGACACTTTGGCTGTCTCACAATGAGGCATTCAGCATTTTTAATTTGACACATCCACTATTGCAGAAAATTGTGTTTCTTTCTTACCTCCATGCTGCTCAGAAGTTAAAGGTTTTACTCCAGAAACTTTGCTTTGCTTTTGTTCTGCTGCACACCACTACTATGCTAATTGCCTCCAAGAGTGTATAAAAAGTTAAAATGAAGAAAAAAAGAAATATGAATGTCATAAAGTTAAAATGCCTTAATGAGATTAAAATTTTACTCTCAACAATGTAATGTTTCTTTGGGTGGAGGTGAATTAAAAGAGTTTCTCACTGAGTTTATGATAATGTAGGTCCACACATACACACCCAAATACAAGGGTACACACATTTTCAAATGCCTACAAAAATACTAGGATAATAATAGTTGTTTATTACATTTAAAAAAGATACTGTGAGGATAGTGTTTATACTTTTTTTTGAATATTGCGGAGACTGGTGATTTAAAATACACTGTTGTGTGTTGTGTCTGTCTGTATTTGTGCATCTTCATGTTTTTATTACTGTCCTCCTTTTTTCTCCAGTTGTCCATCCGTTCATAATGGCAAAAGACAATTTCAAGCCACAAACAAACACATACACAAACACATACACACACACACATACACAAACAGAAACACACAGAGAGCCTTGCCTTAGAGACAAATGTCATGTCCACTCATTGTACACACCAGCCTATTAACCTAACCATGAAACACCTATTTGTCAGGTAGCTGTCAGGTCAGCTCAATACAGCTGCTTTACCGCCAGGCCTCTTATTTATCAAATATGTGCTAGAGGAAGTCGGTGTAGCTGTCTCACCTCTTGAGCACACAATCTCTGCCAACCTTTTCTCCTAAGAATGAATGTTATACAATGGTATACACAGCATCAGCAAACTGTGTTGTAAGGGCAACATAATGCCACCTGCATTACTGATTTTCTTTTTTAATCAGTGTATCAACAAACTCTTATTTTATGCCCCTGAGCACAGTGTTTAACCCCTCTAGATCCTAGCTGCAAGTGAAGATTGAAGCTGTACTGAGCATCTCCCAATTAGTTATTGGGAAAAAGTAAACATTGTTTACATTGTTTTAACATTGGTACATTGTATAAGCTGGCCTACTGAAATAGCTTGTTCCTTTCCTGATCAACAGATCGATTGTCCGACATGAGCAGGATTTGTAGCTGATAAATCCCCCCATTTGGTTCAGTGGAACAGAATGAAACCATCTGCATGGATGTGTATTATATAGGAGCCTTGCCCACTTAAAAACATTGGTCCATAGCACTACTAGTGGTCAAAACTACAAAATGTACCTTTACATAGTGATACTGGAGTAGCTACCACAGAATAAATGATGTTCAATATTATGCCTTTGAATTTTACAGCTGCCACACCAGCACTAAGGGCTGCTATAGCCACGTCACAAATCTGTGTTGTCCCAGCTAAGCTTCCTCAAGCGTTTTAATATTTTTTTAAAAATCGCTTTTGTCATTGCCTTGTGATCACTTGTATTAGGCTCATAGCTATTATATTGAAAATTCTTTGTCCAAATTTTATAAAAATAAATGACATTTATATTGAATGTGGTGTACCATTCAAAAAACAAGAGCTTTCTTGTAAAGTAACTTAATTCAAGAAAGTGCACACCTACATTTGAAAACCAGACTATTCACCCTCGCTTATAATGTTAGGGAACTCCACCTGTGTACTTGAGCACAGCTGGTTTCCAGGTTATTTTGCATGGTGAGTCATATTTGGTTTCCAGAGAATTAATGATGCTGATGCCTCAATGGAAATATTAGAAATCTGTTTTACTTTAATAGTGTGAAAAGGAAGGGTTAATGTTGCCCTAAAACAGCAATAAAATGAAATATGTTACATTGTTGCGACCACTTCTGGCTCAATTCATGTTGTTTTTATCTACCAGGATAGATATCCAGAGGTTAAGTACTTTTCAAAGTCAAACAGCAGATATTAAATATAAAATACTGATATTAAATCCCTCTATTTGTGACATGTTTATATCTTTATAAACACCCCCATTCCTATTAAAGAGAAAAAATGATCTCCACACTTAAAGGACAACCACAGTCATTGAGATTTAATAATCCTTTTATCTTCAGAGCACAGTTTTTTCTAAGATCACAACAGAAGAAAAACAACAATCAGAGACATCAGCTTTTGTTATTTTTTTTTCGCTTGTGCAGTTGTCACTTTTCAAAAAGGCAATCCCTTAAAGTGAATTTATCATCAATTTAACCACTTATTTGGTGTACCAAAGATCATAGAGTGCTCTCAACCCATTTTAAGTGAAAAAAGATTAAATGAAAACAAAAAATCACCATAATTAATCGTGCCTTGTTGGTGCTGCTTTGTGTTTTAACTTTCTTCAAAGCTTGTGTGAAAACTGAATCTGGTTTAGGTTAACAACTTCAAAAGTTTTTCATTCTGATACTTTTAAAGATTTGACTTTTACAAGCCTGCGTTTTGTGGTGTACTGTTTATAGCAATTGTTACATGATTATGGAAATTACACTGATATTTGAATGATAAAATAAATATTTTTTAGCTTTTTAAAAACAAGGATTTTAACCCACTTATAACATCTGCTTTTTGGAAAATTTTAAAAAACGTCTCATACAAAACACCGCCTCATGCTTTTAAGATAAAACACTTGTGCTCTCTTTTAAAAACAAGAGAAATACAGTCCGGTTTTAAATCATAACTAATACAGATCTGTCCTGTAATCCTTGTATCACAATGATCTTAATCCAGTCCTGCAGCACTGCTGGTAATTCCTGACTGCTGGCTTTTCATCAAGATGTGTTTATTTGTTCACAGAGAGAATAAACCTCTGCAGTGATGAAATCTTTAACAACATGAAAAATAGCTTTGTGACAATATGGATATACCAGGGATTATTCTATGTTTTCATATGTGAACATGAGACTTAATGAGGTCTTTCATTCCAAAATGAGATATCCATCATTTGAAAAAGACACTATATCATTCTTACAAAGTGACTCAAAATTAAAGTAAACGATGCGCCTTTTTTACACAATAGCAGACAGGAGCTTTTTGTTTTTGCTGCATTGCATTGTATTATGGTGGTAGTGTCTTCACAATAACATTTTGAAAACTTAAACCTATCAGGGTTTCAAGGCCAAAACAGAAATAAGATCAAGGACAGTTATAATTCGCTCTTTTAAGTCACCACTCACACAGATGATGTTGTGCTTATCATTGCAATCATTTCTGTGTTCCCGACCTGGGTATATCCTTCTTCGAGGTCCAGTGTTTAACATTTAGGAGGATCTATTGTCAGAATTTCATATATTATTCATAGGTATGTTTTCATCAATGTATAATCATCTTAATATAGGAATCGTTGTCTTTTCGTGAACTTAGAATGAGACGTTTTTATTTACAGATGCCACAGGTCACCTTCCAAGCAGTCATTGGTTGGTTTAG